TACCCTAGGTAATTCAGAATACCATCTTCACGTCAAAATCATCTTAAATATAGACGATGGAACAAAAAAAAAGAAGATATTACAACAATATAGTAAACAAAATACAAAATATCCAGAACACAGCTTCTTAAGTGAGTAATTCCAAGTATAATTTATTTCTCAAGACAATAATGTGAAATATTATGTACATGCCTTTTTGTAATTTTCTCTTTCACCTCCCAACACCAACAAATTCAAATAAATTCCTTAATTATTGGAACTTCACAAAAGTTGATGAATATAACGCTCATCGAACTAAACGGTTGAAAATATATATACCCGAAATATAAACACACCCTTCAAAACATGACAGAATGAAAACAAAAAATGTTACTTTAAATCCACGGGTTATCGTGATACTAAGTTACAATTCAAAAATGATTTTCTTTACCAAGGTTAACATTGGTAAAACAATAATTGCAACAGCGATCTTTAGTAAGAACGTGATGATATAGAACAAAATACACTAACCTTAAATACACATTTTAAAAGTAGACAATAATTGCACAAAATAGTGTGTTTATTGTAAAAGGAGATGTTAACGTATCAATTCCAAACAAATATCTCTTTCTACCAAATTAATCTAAATCATCAGAATAACAAGGATCATAATACATCATGAGATAAATTCAATAAAACGGAAACACATTAAATATTATCTTAATCAATATCAATGACTGGTCATCAGTATGCCAACTTTGAAGGCTATGATTTCTAACTGCTGATTATTACTTATTTAATATAGAAATGCGTCTTTATCCAACATGAAACATAATTAGGACAAATCGTGTTCAATCTATAATTTCATTTTTAAAAGAATTACAATAATTTGTGCATGTTTCAGCGACTTAACGTCATGTTAGAAAATGTAAACATTCCTCCAACTGACCATACTTGCGAGCTAACATGATAGATTTAAAAAAAATTCTTCTTCTAAGTATTCATCAAAACATCGCTAGACAGTAATTTTACAGTATTGATCTGGAAAAAGGTGAAAATGCGATTCAAAGACAGTTACATAAGGCACTGTCTACATAATTTTTTTTATTGTCCTTTTTGGAACCCTTATTAGGCTTTGACAAGGAGAAAAGGCGTTGGAAAGAGAAAGGGGGGGGGGGGTAAAGAGAGAGAGAGAGAGAGAGAGAGAGAGAGAGAGAGAGAGAGAGAGAGAGAGATAACATTGATAAATAACCATGCCGATTGAGGAAAAGAAGAAAACAGAAAACAGAAAACAAAAAAAGGCAGAGAAAGTAGGGATTAATTCGTAACTTGACAGTATCATAAGGATTGAGTATAGATCTATTTGTTAATCAAATGCTCAATTCCAGAAAACTAAATGGAAGCCATGTTTGACCGTACCATATTTCCTACCCTGATTTAAAAGAAGCTCTATAGTAAAGGGATACAAAGGAGAAATTCAATAACGCAATCAAAATTTTAAAAGATGATTTTCTGACAGTTCAAGCGAGATTGCCTGTCAGCGACAAAGAAAGCATCACTACAAAAATCTCGTAAAACAAATGTATGCATGATGACACCACATGAAACAGACGAACGTTAAATGTATTACTTCAAGACGAAAATATATCTCTAAATTCTTGTACGCAGCAAATTAGTGACGGCGATTGAAATCACAGGCAACATAAAAGATTTATGAATGATACAAAATATATCCATGCGCAGCAAATCGGTGTCCCGTCACCGTGTTTTTGTTTTAATATCTAGAAACTTGTAGAAGCAGCAATACGTAAGATTTGTATGTTATTTACAATCATTGCAACGAAGTCATAGTTTGTAGAAGGGTGTTCCCCTGAAGAAAAAAAAAAACCTATTATATACATTCCAATCAATTTTAGTTAAATTTCACCAGTCATTCTTTTTAAAATCTCAAAACCAATATGTACAAAGGGTTTGGCACATGTTTCCATTTTGAAAAAATGTCTGGTTTTGAAATAGTTTTCATTTTCATAAATTACGAAGGCAAAATGTGATGATTTTCTACAGTACAAACGACAGAAGGTAAACATCTCTATAATATAATAAATCCTATTCAGCTGAAAAAAAGATTGGAAAGAAAATAACTCGTTAATTAAATTGAACTCCAAATGAAGAGGTTGATACATGTTCTACTTTTGAGATACAGACGACATTACAAAACACACATCATTTTCCTATTTCGAATTTCCCGCCAAAGCACCAGCGTACATTTACAGTGAAAATGGCTTGAATTGCCTTAAATTATAGTTGAAAAGTTGCAACCCCAAATTTGACTTAATATCATAGAGAGCTATGCATTGTAAAACATTTAAAAGTAGTAAAGACATTTAAAATTCAGTATGGTAACCTTTGATTTTTTTTTACAAAGTTTATAGAATATAATATAAAAATGTATTATTACTTACAATTTAGAGAGATTGATGTTTTTTATATAAAATATCAAATATCTAAGACAAAAAGCGAAGTGGTAAATATTAATTTATTTCAGAATAAGGTCATAAGTTATTAGCATTAATATATTTGTAAACAAGGCGGCTTGTATGCCTTTTCTCAATAAACAAATGACATAACTACTTAAAGCTTACTGCCACATTCTAGTCAAAAAGATTAAGGAACTGTAATTTTCTTCTGTGTCCTACAAAAAATTTGGATAACACAATTAAGACGAACTGCTGACGGTTTTAGTGTTAATTAATGGTCACCGGGCCCCACATAATTGGCGAAGACGTATCGGAAACTGGATTAAAATTGAAACGGTAATTAAATAGCATGATTGGTGCACAATTGGATAATCTTACTCTTTCCTCTTGATAAGACCGTTAACTGCTGCTGATTGACAATGGGATAAAAACGACACCGAAAGAAGGTGTGTTTCTACATCATGTGTACAAAGTGACACAAGAAGCTTATAAGTTATTGTGAAAGCCCTAATTTACGTTTTCCAAACATTCAGTGTGATCAGCGTCGGAAATGAAGGTGAAGATGATGTGGTCAATGAATTGCAAAGGTGACGATAAAAAGATGACCAGGGTCATACCGGGTCATTCCAAAGATTATCTTTCTCATAGTTATGCCAAGCCTTAAAGTCAAGCTTCCTAACGTATTGATATGGTGGCCAGTCAAAAAAATGTTTTGTGGTCTGGAATGGCCTCTACGGTGTTGCAGATATCAACTCCTAAACATGGTGTTTCCTGTGGCCGTACAACCTCCACAGAGGATGATAAGCATCACCTTGACATTGACCTCTGACCTTGTAACGTCACAATGGCACATCAGTGAGGTCAACATGACTTATGGCTGATGGTGGCACCTAATGTCACGCACGCTATGAACCCACGGACCAGGAGAATAAACATGGCGTCGCCTAAATATTCTAAAAAGGCATCAAGACGTCCCAAGTCTAAAGACTGTCTTTAACACCTACTATGCATCAAGAGAAAGAGCTAAACGCAGCAAGTTCTACCGTGATGATTGGCTATGCTCTCCTGACAGTAGCTTACAGTTTGTAGGAGATAGAAGCGTACCAGTGCGAGACCGGTACCAAGTCCTCAGTCTGACAAGAAGAGCGTGCACTTCACGTTTGGTGATTTCCTCAAAGGCTTTTTTGTCCTTCATGCTGGGCAGCTGGGGACATGGTCGGTTACCGAGCCATGAGTTCCCGGAGTACCGACGTGACACTGGTGTCTCCGATCAGGTGATGGTAGAAGAGGTTCTCAAACACGGCCGCACTGAACCCCCGGACACCAGGCAGAAGCAGGAGCATGTGGGAGAGCCGAAGCGGGTCATCGGGGTACTTGAGGGTCTCGTACTCCATCAAGGCCGTGTGGACCTTCTCGCTGGCCACCTCTATCGCTCGGCTGTCGGTCAAGGAATGCAGGTCTGTGGGAAGACAAAAAAAAAGAAATGATTTTAATTAATGACATAGGCTAATCTTTATGTAAGCGTGTGCTTGCAATACCTGTCACATACCCTGTCACATCATCAAAACCGACCCTAAACTGACCAATTAGCGACAAAGTCGTGATAAATTTGGGGTAATGTAGTTTTTCTGTCTTTTAGTCAGTCTGGCGTCGGTCTCGTCGGTGTGACTGAGAACCGAGGTATTAAATATTTCAGTAAATTGGTTAGTTCAGCGAATGCAATTAAAACAACGCCTGATCATCGGCGTACATCTCTGTGGTTTCCCTACACAAACGGATGCCAAAACATCGAATACTGCGAAACGGTAATGCACTTTCTAAAAACATCACAGAGTTCATGGCAATTATAATAGTACTGATCGCTGTTATTGGTATATACTGTGCTTTTGTATTATGAGCTGGAGAATAGCACGATATGGAGTGATCACGCTTCTGCGTCTCTGTGAGGCTCTTCCAAGGTCACTCCACGAATTCACAAGCAGTTGCGTATGTGGTTCAAAAGAGCCTCACAGAAACACAGAAGCGTGATCGCTCAACCTCATTATGATGTCACTCAGATCCGATTTTCCGTTCAGATCCGAACATGAATAAGCTACTGAACAAAACGGTTACGATCGATAGTCCAAAGTGTTCATTGGTCATATGGCACATCGTCTCAATACTTTGGGGACATAGGACTTATCAGTGCGAATAAAAATATGACACATTGGTCCAACACATCGTTACAAGTTTATAACAACATATCATTGAACGCAGGACGGTCGTTTCGTCCTTGATGATTATTATATTCTGACTAAAATTTGCGTACCTTATTACAGCACTCGAGGACACAAGCTCCTGCAACCAATTTTCACGGTTAATTTTTCCAACACCAAGCTCAACCAAATTTCCTATCTGCATCTGGGGTGAAAAATCTATTCCCTAAACCTTAAACCGAATGACAACCCAAACCTTACGTTTATCTTTGACAAAAAAAGAAACCCTGAGCGAATGTTGGGTCGCCTCCTGTGTTAGTCTTACATTGCCCTTCGAACCTTTATGGATAATTTTGCACTCTCTTCTCTGCTTGTCTAGCTAATTATAGAGAAAATATATGAGCCATTCATGGAACATACCTGAATTTAAGAGCAGCAGTATCCTCAGTACGGCGTATTCCTTCGAGTCAAGTTGCATCTGATTCAGCTTTGATAACGTGAACTGGAGCTGGTTAACAGTTCTCATGGTCGGTATTCCATAATCACTCCCTCTCCTTAGCGGATGCACATAGGTCTGAGAAACTACCCCCGTCTTTGCAATAAAATCTCCCTGGAACTGCGAGTCAACCTGGTAATGTGTCGTCTGAACGTACTGGTGTAGGGGTATGTCTTCGAGGTATTCATGCATGCCAGCGAAGACCACGTCGAAATTGAACTTGTTCTGTGCCATATACAGAATTACAATGTCTTTCCAGGCGGAGCACACCAGTATTTGCCTGTCGTGTGCGTTGATGTTAGCCAAACCTGTGTGTCCATTGCCGAATTCGGCGCATTTCGTCAACCAACGCGCTAAGTCCATATCCATGCCACACTGCGAGTCGCGATCCAACTTCACGCAGTCGCTGCACGGACACGTACACCGTTGCGATGTGAACATCGGCGGCGTGGTCGTTGTGGCTGTCGTCGTTGAGGCAGGATCGGGCGGCGATGTACCGGTTGATGGTGACGATGACGATGACTCATTGGCTTCGAAGAGTAACGCTGTGAGTGGTGATGGCCGCTGGTGTGCGGGCGATTGCTGCTGGTTGTTGCTGTTTTGGTCCGTTGATGTTGTCGGACTGCTCCACGGGCAGCTCCTCCGGTGGAGTGCGAACGGTAACTCGCCAACCTTCATGCTTGGGGAACCCGTCGAAAACTGCACAGAAAATACAAAAAGGAAAAGGAAAATTAAATAACCACAATAACAGTCTAAATGATTCAACGCGTTACAAACATATTTTATATTTCAATTTTTCGGTTCAATTTTAATGGTGGGTGGAGGAAAACTGCACAGCATATTTACGAATACGGAGGAAAATTTCAATGATAGTCTTCTTAATTCAACTCGTCAACAACAAAAAGAAACATTAGCAAAGCCATATGTATATGTGGCTTTTATGGTTGGTGCCCTGTTGAAACCTCAATAGGAGAGACAAAATATGACGGAAAAGTTCAATAATAGTCCACTGAATTCAAATCGTTACATGCATATAATCTATTTTATCATTATGAAATCAGACTATAGGCATACAATATAGCCAAATTGAGGTATCGAAAGCTCCTTTCAAATGTTTAAAACATTCATAAAGTTTCCCTTAAAGATGAATTAAACGATAGACATCAAAATCATAAAAAACGAAATGATCTTATCCAAAGTTAAAACGTTTCTTCTCTCTTTCCTACAGCACGAAATAATTTCCAGACAATCCCGGTATACCTAAATGAGATTTGAACGACAAGCGACAGTTTGACGGCGACCAAAGCACACACGTACGTCGAGTTCCGCAGCTATGGAAGGAAATGAGCAGAGCCGAAACAAAAGCACTGCTTCTCTACAAATCACACTGAACCAGATCCGTTAACAAACGGGTGAAATATAAACCGTTTACAACGAAACAATGGGATGATGGTGATGCGCAGAGGGAAGCCTTGATTTGATGCGACCGTTATCACCGAGAGACAACTTTAGAATGGGCCGTGTGCCAACGGTTTCTGAATGTAGATCAACTCAACGGCGCGCGGTGACGATTAAAACATTTACGTGCCGCCTTTAGAAGGTGGCATCCAGTCAGCTATGACGTATTGAGGTGCGCTTAAAATGATTTGCTGGTATCCAGGTATTGCCTCGCCAAGCAGAGAATGTCTGGTTTTGGTATATAAGGGGTGTAGCATAGACGTTACGTCTATGGGTGTAGTCACCAGGAAAGAAGAGTTTCCTAGAATGGGCGGGCGCAATTAGGTTGATACCAATAACCACCCCCTTCTTTTTAATCAAATGATGAAGTAGTGAAACTTTGTGCAAACCTGATAGATTAACACTGTCTGGCTTTTATCAATATCAATTTTCTTTGTTTTTCTATCTCATGTTATTTTCATATTATCTAAAAGATTTTTTTTCTTTTCGTGGGGCGGTCTTCATGGCTATTGTTTTATATTATAAAGCCATTCGAAGGGGAAGGATAGACACGTGCCCAATGGCTCTCGTGGCTAGGTACGCCAGCAACACGATAATTTCTACGACTTCCCTTGGACAACGGATGCGGACAGATGATACCCTTGGCCATCTCACCCTGACAGCTATCCTTGCATCCACAAGATAGCATATCGTCCAAAGTGTCACGTGTCTGCCAAGCAACATTGTGCTCTTGTTAGTACATTCATTAGTAATGGATTTCGAAGTTTTATCTCGGTATAAACGCATATCTCTTTGCCATATCGGATATGTTGGTATTGGAAAGTTCGATTTGTCGCGTTCTCATGTATACCTTTCATTCCATGTAAATGTTTATAACATCCGCGCATTTGAAAAAGAGTCCCCATGATTATTTTGAAACCAAAACTTACAAAAACGTGTCGTTTTTGCTGGGTGCATCTCTCTTTGGCACGCATGATGGATGACATTTGTGTTCATGATAAGTTAAAGCACTTTGTACTTTTTATTATGGGATTAGCCCTTTTTCGATAACATAGATATGCCTTTTGTTTCGTGAACTGGCTAGCGCCTTCACCTCTTTCTAAAAAAAAAAATAACGATCAGAAATCAAGCCGCCCACGTTGGGCTACGACCCATTTTCGCTTCAAATGATGACGTCCGGTGCCGAACCTTAAATTCGCTTAATAAAATCAGTCTTTCCTAAAAACCCGTCTCGAAATAGACGGATATCGACCCCTGTCTTTTCCTGTGCCCTTGCTTCACGGGTAGAATTAGGTAATCAAATCGTCACGAATAGGTTGATTATTTGATATCAAGACTTCACAGAGCTAGAGGAACCATATATACACTCCCCTTTGAACAGACAAAAAAAATCATCATGTTCTAACGTATACTTGTAGACGCTCGTTATCATTTGTGTAAGCTTGCATCATTTCATATCCGAGCTTATCGATCGAGTATGATTTAAAAACCGATGAGAAAAGCAAACAGAGACTAAGAACAATGCGGAAACCACGACAAAAGAAATTAACCAATGAGAATTCAATGCAAACAAGGAATTCCATGACTTAAAACAAACAAGACAACGAACAGCACAATAACAACAAAAGACGATAAAGAACAACAAAACCAAAAGACAAAAATAGCAGAGACAAAAGAGGGAAACAGGAAACTATGATTAAAAATGTATCTATTCTAAATGGAACACTATTTTTCAAAATGTGTTAGTTTCATAAATTTTGTAGACCATCGTGTCCGATTATATGAACTGTCGTAGGTGTATTGTCACGTTGCTGCTGTCTATTTTAAGCCGATCTATATTGTCTATGATCACGCTTCTCTCTTTCTCTCTCTCCCTCTCGCTATCCCTGTGAGACAGTTGGTATACAGAATAGTACAGTGACCCCCAGACATTGACACGTCACATCCCCATGTTCACACGGTTTCGGGCTAGTCTGCCGGTTCAGCCTCCGTGCGTATAGCAGCGTGTCTGAAAATTGTGAGACTGCGCAGCCTAGACGGTCTACCAATCTACTGCACTCAATAGGCTTTGCACTTTAACTGCTGACATAGTCAGAGGCAGATAGAGCTAGGCTCGGCCCAAGGCTTTAGGATATCGTGTTTAAGAGTCAAATTAGAGTATGCGCACGCAGACTAGTCCAATGCAACCATACGGCCCAGCACTGGATGTGAAGTTCAATGTCAGGTGGATGTATTATAACACGAAAATAGAAATAATAGAGGCACTATACTCTGTACTATTTGAGGCGTTAGGGGGAAATAGTCATTATATTTTACACTTATATAGAGTTGACCAAAGTTTAACCCAATATTGGTTAAAAGGGGGACATGCATGTTTATTTCACAAACTTTGACCCAATATTGAGTCTCTGCTAGATGTACAGTAGTCCAAAAACCAAGTAAAGTTTACCTACATGTAATAATGAGTAGCAATTAAAACAACCTTTTTACCCCCACATTGGGTCAGTTCAACCCACCTTTTCAATTTGTGTTCAATATGCCTCTACATGAGTGCTTGGTTGCTGGATTTCAAGCCTCAAAGATACCATGTGCACCATCTCCACTTCCGGGGAGCATTCCTGACACAATTTGCCCCGTTCGCATGCATCCATACCGGGCAATGGCGAGGACCCCATCCCCTGCCCTCTGAAAAAATATGATACCCTTCTGTTTTTTTGCTTGTGAGGGAATAACGATGTGAACTTTGTAGCAATCACTGAAGAAAAAAAATCCCCCTTGCAAATGCACGTCGTCATATTAAACCGTTATCATCGCCCAACCCCAAATCACATGAATACTAATATTTGCGGTGTTTGCAGGTGATCAATGCAACAATAAGCGATTGCCTCCCAACAAGAGCACCAGTATAATTCATCAAAATACAATCCATGTATTTCCTTGTCCGAAATTGCTAGACTAATTTCAAGGGTACCTTCCCAGGCATAACATGGGATCAAAATCATTGTGATGGCTGCAGTCAAAAGCTTCACGCTTCAGCTATTGAACTTTAGATTAATTTATTATCATTATTATTTTGATTTTACCAGTGTCAAGGGTGGATGATTATTTATATTGAATCTACTGCCATTATTCTTGCATGCTATGATTGATGACGTTGGTTTGTAACTCGAATGACTGGTTGATCTGGAAACTTGTCTTGGGGTCATGACCCTCGTGGATGGGTGACCTGACTAAGAGTCAACTGATTTCAGGTTAGAATCCTAGTAACTCGCAGTATCAACATACTCATGTAGACATGTAAAGATCCATGTGTTCTAGATGGGCAGGTGGCAAGCATTTTTGACTTTTTTTTCTTTAGTAGAGATGATAATTCTACCACTTTGCATACAAATTATTCATGGGAACGGGTGTTGTAGATAAATATAAATAGTACATGTATACATTGATAGTCCTATATTTTCGTTTTGCAGGGGCACATCAGGTGATAAAAGATATAGAATTACAGACTCAGACAGAAAAGAGAAGGCCTGCAAATATTGTCGAATCCCGACGTAGTTTGGGCTGCACACTGCCCCGACCCCGCCGCCACATTGCTCTCCATAGCTTCCACGCCTATAAGTTCCCCCGATCGTTAAGTTCCCTACCCTCCCTCTGCTGTCTTCTCTGCCTCTTCCCTTCTTCTATGCCTCTTCCCTTCTTCTCTGCGTCTTCCCTTCTTCTATCGAGGTTTTAATATGGTCCCCGAGTGCTGCCACTTTACCAGGCCAGGCCGTCGTGAACTTTAGTTCCAGCGACATGGAATTATGCGAATCGTTTTTTCTTCACCGCAAGCTTTTCCATCATTTTGCATCGCGGATGGGTATGAATAGAGCGGGGGGTACACCCCCTAGACCAACAATTTACCAAACAGAAACGAAACAATGGGCAACGAAACGAGCCAGTAATTATCTACCATGTTTCTTTGCAAACCTTTTCATCGCAGATTGTTTTGGATGCAAGCCATGCGTGTGAGGTGCACTTTTTTGTGCTGAGGAGCGCCGCGGCCACAAAACAGGCAAAAGGCGACTGTACTTGGTGATCGAATAGGCGTAAAAATCGCTTGGTAAAAACCGGCAGCGCAATCATTCGATTGAACAGCTTTTTTTCAATCCAAGGTCGTCGTAATATCATCCTAATGCTTGGGAAGGTCTCATGTTTCTGTCGAATGTTCGGAGAATGGTGAGTGTGCGGGGGATGGGGGC